ATTCCTTATTTGCTTTCGCAAAACACAAAATTGTTGCTTCGCTTGAAGAGGAATGCTCGACCATTCCCAAACCAGTAGTTAAGAGAATTCATCTGAAAAGCAGATGCTCAGCTATGCACCTAGAATGAAGTATTTTAAGAAATTTTGGAATAATTTAATACAGATTGAGGAGGATTTGTGCTAACTCACCTTGTATATTTGGTATAAGTTTCTATGAACAGGTTGTCTGTTTAAGTGATTCCATAGCATATGAACAAAAGAGTTGTCTGAGGATGTTCTAAAATTCAAATTTGAAGGATCTTTAAACACGTTTTGTTCGTTTAGACAAGCAGTCGATTGCACACCGGGATATCAAATCTTCAAATGTCTTGGTGCGGAATGACATGAGTTGTGTGATTGGCGATTTTGGTTATTCAGTAAAGATGGATTCATTGGCATCGTCGAAGTTCATAATCGAACAGCAAATAGGAACACGCAGGTGAGTGTATCGAAGGCAATTTCGTTATATCACGAACATCATGCGCTTCTTTGTGTTTTTCAGGTACATGCCGCCGGAAGTAATCAACAGAACTATCAATCATCGCGACTTCAACGCTTTAAAATTAGCGGATATTTATTCGGTAGCTTTGGTTTATTGGGAAATCATCAACCGTACTGGAAATACAGGTACTAAAATGATTTTTCTCATCCTCTTTCTTAGGTAAGCGAAGAAACTCGAACATAGTTCTCCCTTTCGGAATTATTTATTTGCACCCAAATCGAATATTAGAGTTTGGACTTCAGTTGGTTAATGTAGAGTGGGAAGTAGTCTGGCTTTGCGCTTAGGTGTCGGTTCGAATTCTAGCGCTGGCGGTTAAATCTTATTAACTTATAATTCCCTTCATGTAACTGCTAATAATAATAATTGCAAAGAATTCACACCTCTGTTTTGACGCAGCCACTCGAGAAACAGGCAGAAAGATTGACCTTTGACCAATATAATCATCATGTAAGAGCTACGACTATGGTTGATGCGTGCGCCGTATGGCTGCATTGTCTTGATACACCCGATAGTTGCCTTAATTAACACAAGGTCAGTCATTCAGTCAGTTTCGATGACCACCTATCCTTTCGGATGACGTATGTAGACACGTCAAACATTATCTCTGACATTCCTTATCCTGCGCCAGTGATTATGCTTCGACAGATGATAACCGGAGCTTGGAGCAGTGCCGATCTTTGACCGGTATAAGCAAAAGGTATGATTCGAAAACAAGTGAAACCATTATGAAGGTTAAGTGCATCATTTTCTAGCAAAAGAGCTCAACTTTAACTGCGTTGTTTTCAGATACCGCTCTTCCATATCAAATGCCATACGAAGACTTAATTAAGTTCCCCACCTTAAATGATCTCGATCGATACATCTGCGTTGAAAACCGTCGACCAGCGTTTCCCGAGTTTTGGAAAAATGACGAAGTACTTTTAAGCAGTTGTTTAAGTGATGACAAATGACGTTGTTTAAAATGATGAATAACGTAAAGAGCTAAAACTGTTTTCTTTTTTATAGCAAATGCGTGAACTCGAGGATACAGTTGCGCAGTGCTGGCAAAATGACCCGTCCGTTCGGCTATCAGCGTACTGTATCAAGTGCCGCGTGAAACGCATCATAGAAGAAGGAACTTGTGTTGACGCTAAACATAAAACCATTCAGTGACTTTAACGGCTTACATTTTAAACCGCGTTGCTTTCTTTGGACTTCGTCATTGTTTCCCTTTGTACACCTGTGGTTTTCCTACGCAGGCGATGACCCAAAGAAAGCTGACATTCGCGTTTCGATATCGTTGCAGTCCAATAACGTGGTATGTTACAAGTCTCTTGGAACCATAGCACTTTACAACACCGGGTCTTTTCAAATGACGCTTGACAAGATATTGTCAGCGTTCAGCTGATGTTCGTTGTTCTGGTATAGCGTCTGATCGCAAACTGCTGAAGCATCAACGTTCAAAAACAGTGAATCGTTCCAAGTGACAAAGTTATGCTGGATGCATATTCTGACAGTTGCCATGTACCAGTGATCCCCTTAAATGACTCCACAGGACTCTTGTGTGCATGGGGAAGAACATGCCCAACAGTAACAGCTGATTGCTCAGCTGGGTAACATGTACCTGTTGGTATGTTACAATGCAAATCTGAGAAAGTGACTAAATTTTGTCATTGTTATGCGTGTTCTTCCAATCAACGGTTTCGAAAACAGTTTGTGTATATACTCAGAATATCATGTTTGTTCTTGTTTATATGTGCACTTGCAGATCAGTCTTTTGAAAGTTTTTCTGTCGTTCACTTATTCTTAATGTAAAATCCAATACGGCTGTTAACAACGCTTTCAAACAACCACTCGGTTTTGCATTCATACGTTGCTAGTGCTATAGTTACCATCGTCCCGAGTCCTGCTTGAAAAGCCCCATAGACTTCTAGCAACAAGAGGTCGCGCGATTACTTCGTGTAAATTTGCGTATTGGTTATTAGATTCGGCTATAGCAAGATAGTTTTCTCGTTCACCGAGTTTTCATCTGATTTATATTTGGAGCAAGAATATTTTCACTTCTACTTATCGAATAAGTAAGATTTTATTAATAATACCAGTATAGTAGATCATGGAATGATTCGATCAGTTAGGTAAACAAACCACAGCGTTTTGCTTATCGACCTCCTGTCACTTCACATTTACGCGGCGTAGTCGCGCCATAGCGTAGGGGACCATTAAAGCAGGCTATTACTTCATGATAATTTGGCACCTGCAATGCATGGGCGTGAACAAAAACGTCTTCGAACATCAACTGGAATATATACTAAAAATTAACCCGGGTATTACGGGTTTTGTAGCAGACTGGCAGTTTTGAATACCGCCGGCAAAAATAACGGTCTCCTGTCGTTCTTCTTCCTTGTTGTAGCCTGCGATTGTTTAAGCAGTCCGGTTCCGTGCCGTTTTACCACTTGAAATGCATAATACTGTACCAATTCAAGGGTAATCTTTACTTTCCTAATCCGCCGTTTTTCTCAGATTTTTATGACAGTGCGTTCAAATTTCGCCATTAATGCGAGTCTTTCACGTAATCAAACATTCTACTAATCGATGTCGAAGAATACAAGCAGCAGATAGTGTCTGATGACCTAAGGCCTGTCGTTTGGTCGCAGGCTGTTTTAACATTTAGTTACTACTTACTATCCTAGGCATTCAGTACTGAGCAGATAGTGATTTCTAATGCTCTTACTGACGAAAATCTGTTGGTCCAGGTACTGAATAAATAGGATTCATTACATATCTAAAGGTGAGCTATGATGTCCTTAACTTTTAATGCAGTGCTGTAATTTTCATAGTAGAAGGCTTAAGTTTAGTCTGATCGAAAACTACTTCGCGCTTTAGTGCTCACGGCACTAGCTTATATTGTGTGACTTCTACAGTTAAATCAGTAATAATCACAAAATGAAAAGGAATATTCAGAGTAGATGATCCGACCTATCAGCAGAACAAAATTAAGCTACATTAGCGACGGCACTGTGTGCTGACAGACGATACGTTGAACAGCAAAGTACCAGTGAAAGTAAAATAGTAATTGGTTCACTGTGAAAGACTGAACAAAGCAGTCCAGTCATAATACGTTGTGACTGCGGGAACATCTGAAGAGGTTAATCTGAGCAATTCGTATAGTTATTTGTTGCCCTGTTAGAACCGTGCTTAGCTGCTTCAATGGCATTTAAAAGAGAGCTAGTCGGTCCAAAACCGACGAAGATGGACATGAAGTGAAATGCGGAAGCTGGTGTGACCGAAGCTCAAGTTGAAAATGCAACGTACCCTGTTTTCATAAATAAGTTGACCTACGGACATGACCTGATGACTTAAATTTAAAGGCTGCAATTTTGCTGAGCAGCAGGTCATTAATGAAGTAGCATGGTATACAAGGGAGTCACATTCACCAAGTATGGAATAATGTAATTTTTTAATCTAAAATTCATTTCCATACCAACATACTTTCATATCATAGAATAAATGATCCGAATCATGGTCTAAAATGTTGCGTTTGAAGCAAGTCCATCAGCTAATCAACAAACTCTTCAGGATACAATTCCCGATAGCCTGTATGCGTCCATCTGAAATGTTCTCATTTTCACAAAACGTTTTTAAACACAGTATGTTGTAACAATGTATCAAATCTACGTCATTGCTAAAAGCTCCATGGAATTTTATGATCATCTGATGCCAATAAAATTAATGAGTCGCAGTTTCATCGTAATTAATTTCGCATAATTATTTCGACATTAACACTTAAACAGCCTCAATCTCTTTTATAAGCATAATATTATGGCTTGATAATCGTTCCGAAAGTCTGCATAAGCTATACAAAACGCAGCCCAATAAAATTATATAAGTTCTGGAAGTTCAGTCTTTGTCACAGTTGGTTCTTCAACCCTTGAAACCAAATTTTTGTACAAGAATTCTCTTGTCAGTCCCAAGCCAAGGGAAGAAG